TTCTTGAAATGTAAAGGTATATAAAAAGAAAAAAAAATCACTTTTGAGAGATTTTTTATTCTATCATTTTTGCGAAGTTGGCGGCCTGGCGGCCCAGCGGCCAAAGATTTTAATGTTGTAGAAATGTTATTTCAACAATAAAACGGCATTTAATGAAGTTCTAAAGACAATTCATGTTATTTAAAGGATATATAAAAAGAAAAAAAAATCACTTTGAGAAAACTTTTTTTATTTAATTATTTTGTGAAGTTGGCGGCCTGGCGGCCTGAAATTTAATGTTGTAAAAGTTTGGAAAAGAATTGGAAAACGACTCTTAATTAATCTTTAAAGACATATCTTATCATTTAACAGTTATATAACTGAAAAAAATATCACATTAAGAATTTTTTTTCTAGCGACAGTGTAGCGCTACTCCCTTTATCAAAATGGTACTAGTATGAATGAAGTTTAGCGATGTCGCTGCGTTTGAAAATCATGAGCAATCGTATCGATGGAAATCTTTATGACAGTTACATCAAGGATATGGTACTTACTCTAGAAATAGGTTGACCGCAGGAGGAAGAACTAAAAGTTCGTAACTACGGCGGGTAGTTTTGCACTTTTTTGGAGTGTTGGTAAAGTTGTCTTGTTTGCATGCATCTCCAACTTGACGCTTAAAAGCGGCACATATTTAAAATGAATAGTATTTAGATTTCAAAAGGTTTATCTCTATTAAGTCTGTAGATCTATTTGTTTTTCTCTTACTGGAAGTTTCATCTGGCACAGGGGTGCGAGATGAATCGCGTGTTTTAAAGAGCGATGGTACTATGTCGTCACGAGGCATTTATTGTAAACATTTTCTGATACAGAGATTTTGCCGCCCTTTTTACTGAACTGTTTTTGTTGGCATCTAAAAGTTGCTTTTTTCACCATAATTCTACTGCGTACTAACGCAGTAAGGGCTGTTTTTGCATATGTTGACCACTTTTTGGTAATTTTCGTGGATTGTTAGTGCCAATTGCAGATTGTAAATTTCTTTATTTGTTCACCTCACAATATATCACTTTTAAGTACATTTCCAAAATTTTCATGAAAATAAACATGTTTACAAGTTTATTTATCTTTTCCCAGAAGGTCATAGACCCATGTGGTACAATATGCAAAATATATAATATGGCAAACGTGCATCAATATTAAATTGACATGACTTCATACATGCATTACATTAGCACATTTTACATAGGAAATGAAAACATATATTCACCTATTACATGATGTACATGTTTATAATAATTCACATTTTCGTCGTATGTGTCAAAAGTATATATGCAACATAAGATTTAAAAAGAATAATAAAGTGTAATAAAAATCCAATTGAACTGACTTTACATATAATATTAGATCTATCACTAGTTAAGAAGATAACTTGACAGATTAAAATCTTTCTCAATTGCATATTGAGTTTAAATCATGTTGATAACGAAGTGTGAATTTTACATACATTTTTATACTGCACACAGCATGGGAGATAATTGCTATGTCTTATCACTCAACCTGTATATCGAGTTATGTAACATTCGCCGTACTATAGCTTAAACAATATACTGACATACAATATAATTTCTTAACATAATAAACTGCAGATGTCTTATAAAATGGAACAAATTTGTATATAAATGTGTATTGTTCAAACAATTTTGGTAACTGATAGCGAACTTTACATATTTTGCTTTTTTTTGGGGGAGATAATCAATATGGTCATATCGACTGACCTATATATATATCGAGTTGTGGAACGTTTGATAGTATAAAACCTTGCCTGAGGGATTTTTAGAGTCGACTTCTGATGTCATTCTGTACAGTCTGAAAAAATCCTTTTGTCAAGAAATGTAAACGGAGCAAAATAGAGGCCTTTTTATGACGGAATGGTTCAGGTAGATGGCTTTCATTTACTTGCCCTTCATTGCTGTATGTTCAAATCCCACAAGAGACTTCGAACCTTTTCATTATAAAAAGCTATCCATCTAGTCTAATGTAAAAAGTTGTTGGTTTTGAAAACGGCACGATAAATATAAGATCTTCACGAATAAATCTAGAAATGTCACCACATGATCATAACAATGCTGGTGTTAATAAACCGGACCTCATCAAAAGTGGGTTTTGCTCAGTTTTACTGGGTTCGAACTTCCGGTTTCAAACAAAATTCTACGGTTACACATTAATATAATATAATATAATGGGGGAAAACCAACATCTGCCGGGTTTCGGATAACATCTGTTAAAACACAATTATGAAAAATAATCATCCATTGAAATCATTCTTATCTAATTCTCTTTTAGATTGTAGACTAAAAGGAACGCTCGCTTACTTCATGTACTTCAATCTCTTTATATTACAAGATACAAATTGTTTAATTTTCAAACAGCATAAATCTGATTTAAACACAACTAATTGATTTTGCCGCTCACATATTGACTCATGGTAGCCACTTGCAAGTTGCAGCTATTATGTAGCAGGAGACACAAAAATAGGATTAAACGCGGCATGATTCAACCGGAAACCATCGTGTAATATGCGCAAATACTAGAGCTTTCGGTTGCATTGAAATTGCGTATGTGGTATAAGAGGACCATTAGCACTGATACCAATAAAATCAAAATGGATACATTTTCAATAATAACCGCGTCTATCTAAAAAATACAGAAGTAATTGACATAAAGGGAAAATAAATGTAGTATTATTCAAAGAAAAATTAAATATGTATCACATAGAAAAAGCTTGAAGTTTAGATTACCATTCCACCATTTTCAAGTATATTATATACGTGTACTTTGTTGAACATTTTCGCGTAGTGGGGCAAAGGATCGCTACGCCAAAACGCGATTGAGTTTGATTTGTAGTAGGGCTACCTTTTGGGCGAAAGATCGCCAGGCAAAAACAAGCCAAAATTGCAATTTTCGTAAAAGTAGTTTTATGTTTTCTTTTATTTTTATTTACGCCACGAAAACATTCTCATTCAACATGGCACAAATCAGCCACCATACAACGATGGACATTTAGAGGCCAAATAACCCGCACTAGGAATGGTGTGTGTGTATTTTTAGGTGTGGCCACCTCGCTGCAAAACCGTGAAAAATATATGCATGCGACAAGGAAAAATATAAATTGAAATATGATATTCTGCTGACTTTAAACGCACTTACAAACCTCCTCTATTGTTTGCGACAGGTTTATATTTTTCGGATAGACCTGTTTAAACAAAGGAATTTCCGCTTCAAACCGTGGGCTTGCTTTAATACAACAGTTGATTATACAAGTTCGTAGAATGATCATTATCATATGACAAAACTTTAGTCTGAAAAGATATAGAAGTCTCGCTCGATGGGCATGTCGGACTCCGACCACATAAACCTATCTTTTGAAAATCATTGTCTTAAACTTAACTAAAACAGTTCCCATCTTAAACATAAAGATTGCCTTGTCTCTCTTGCCAAAATAGTTCGCATGGGCCAAGGCTTAGACATGTTATGCTTGTGAAATAGTTTAAACGACGCATGTGAGAGATTCTGTTTCTCTATTACAAACAGACATTTAACTAAAAAATGACCATAATTTGATCACAATTCAACGATTTATAATATTTATCAACGACCTTGTGATTAAAAGTTAATGTTAAATTGTTGGCAGGGTGAATTAGCTGCACGTCTCCAGATGAGCCAAAATATTTCATGAAGATCAGTATTGATCATAATTACTGGAGAAATATGTCTGCGTTCTCTTAGAAATTGATATGTCGTAAAATAAAATTTACTTAATATATAAAACATAAATTTTCATTTTACTTACTTTTAAAATGATTGCTTTCTCAAAAAAAAAGTTTTTACTACTTACATGGTCGTCGAGCTGCAAGACTTTAGATAACAAATTGGCGAGTCTGTTTATACCAACATGCTTTATGTGCGTGAGGCATTTAACTTCGTAATGAAATAACTTAAATATTTCAAATGCAAATTGAAAGACTAGAGTTGAGAACAAAAATGTTAAAGACAATATTTATTGTCTACAACATTGACATAATACGCATTTAAAATATTTTAAGGAGAAGCTAATTGATCGTGCGATACTATATTTTAGCTGTGAATACGATACAATCTCGTGACACACAGTCATACAGGTCATTTTAAAGCTTTTATCTCACTTTAAGTTATGGTGAAACAAAAGAAAAATAACAAAGAAAAAACTAAACTTGTTACAAAAGGATATAAAACCAATCTTTTTTACAAGAGAGATACCTGACTATGTTTTGTTTTTCTAAAACAAATAACTTTGATATATTTAAAACAGTGTACACGTTAGACTTCGTGCTATTTCTCTTACATTCAATATAATCATTGATGTACTTGATGTTATTTTCATAACTATAGATAAAGACAATAGTAGTACAATTAGCTTAAATATCCCATAAATCCTTAGTTATAGCACATAGCTATATTTGATATATAAGATCCTCTCAGACAAAAAAACCGGCACTCGGCGTACACTCATTATAAGCCGAGGTACGCCCCTGACATCCGTTTTTTTTCATACGACTATATGAATGCACATGGGCCTCATACAATACGGTTTTAATGTTAAAGTTTTCTCTAATTTTCATAATCATCACAAAATTATAGCTACAGAGAGAGGGGTGAATAGAAGTCAATAAGTTTTAAAATTGAAATGTGAGTTGAATGTACAGTTAAAATAGTTGTGACTGTAACCTGGTAAACACATAATGTCAGACAGGGACATGATTGATGACAAGCATTTAAGGGTTACAAGAATAGTTAGATCAGTATTCGACATTTCACTGACCTTGAGATTTGATCTTGGAACTTTTTTAAGGTCCAAAATTGTCCGGATGCCAACAAAATTTAGGAAACAAATTCATATTTAATGGTAAAGTAGAGATATGATCTAGTTCTACCTGCATGATAAGTTTTGACTGGAAAATATATCGTTATATGTAAGTACAGCTTTTCTATAATAAATTTTGGAACAGCCAACGTAAAACAACTTTTGTAACGACCCACGTGCATGATGTTATATAAGTACGTATATTGTCACTTCATACATACGCTCTGTCTTGCAGCTCGACGACCATGTAAGTAGTAAAAACTCTTTTTTTTGAGAAAACAATCATTTTAAAAGTAAGTAAAATGAAAATTTATGTTTTATATATTAAGTAAATTTTATTTTACGACATATCAATTTCTAAGAGAACGCAGACATATTTCTCCAGTAATTATGATGTTGTTTTGATAATTTAAACCATTATATTTATTTAAGTTTATGGGTTTTTAAAATTTACTTAAATTTAAAATTCAGAATTGATGTTAAGTATATTTTCTGCAAGTAAGAAAATATGAGATTTATTTTATGCATGTTTTTCTATTTAAATGATACTCAATACATCTCAGTTTCATGATTACCATAGATCCATGACTTCGAAGCGTTGTTACTTACATCTTGCTTTTCAGTACGAATTTACAATTGAGTAACGTACCATGGAGTTCAAAGAGGACTTTGATTTCAAGAAAGTTATGAAAACGGTCTTTGACACGTTGAAAAAAGATGACACAGAAGATTATGACAAACTCGAAGAAGACCCAGAAGAAGAAAAAACTGCGAGACTAAAATGAAGGAAACATACGACGAATATGTTCACATGCTGAAACATGCAAACACACTGGACGAAGCGCTTGCACACCTGTCCCCAGAAAGACAAGAATTGATTAGAACAGTCTTTGATTGTCATAGTTTCAAAGTTGATATCCAGGTAAGATGTTAGTTCTTGCTATTGTGACAATAATTCGTAGTACAGTCATCAATCCTGTATCATGTATTTCATTTGCTTTCTGTAGCAAATTAAAACAAAACTATTTAGGTCACGTATCAACATGCGGTAATGCTCCTAGCGTATAATCCTTGTTTTATACTAGTCTTTATTATTTTTTTCTATATATCCGTTGAGTACAATAGGTTATTCTTCAAAAACTGTATTGTTAAAGAAAACCTTTGTCTTTACCAGGGTACATTTCATTCTATGAAAAAAATAATCACACGACCCTTGTTTCATTTTTACAGCGAGAGAAAGATGGGTCTATAAATCTTCTATTCGAATCGATCACAGGATCCAAGCTCCCATTTCTTCCCTCCCTCGTGAAGCTAGATGAGACAAACTATGCCGAATATGACAAGTTGCTTGTTGCTAGAATCATTGTTGAAGTCTTAATGCTAGCCCTGAAGTTTGTCGGTGTCACCGTGAAATTTTCGGATAAAGTTATTGGCGAAGCGATAAAGTATATTTCCGACTCATTCGTTGCAGCGGACAGAGTTATAGCTGACGTTAAGAAATTGATTGCTGATGCGGAAACACGCGATGTTTTTTTGGTTGCAATGGATATAGTTACAATATTAATCGACATGTTTGCTGTTTTGGCAGGACCAGTCATCAGGGTTTTCAAAATCTTAGTCCAAAGTCTGTCTTGGTTCAGTATCATCATTATTGTTTGCCAAGCGTTATGTTTCATCGTTATAACCACTCTGTCAGGCGGAGCAGCCATCATTGCCAAGGTAATATCCTGGTTACTGCACTCAGCCTTCTTCATTAATAAGTTGATACAGAAAAACGAGTATGATGCAATTACATTTCCTAAACAATGCTAGCCAGACAGACAAATTTCCTGTACCGAGTTGGAAAAGAAAGTTTGCATTCTGTTACAGAAAATTTGTGTACACTAATGATATGTTTAGTATTAAACGTTGTAGAATGTTTTGTAGATAGGTAATATTTTATTGAAATTGATAATTTGCAGAACGTTTTAACGTGTGTATAGCTGAGGATAGCAAGATAATGCCTTTTATAAATCTTTGTTATTATTTTAGAAACTTGACAATTTTAACGTAACATCATTTATAACCTAAATCCATATGGTGTTACGTCAGTGACATGCAGTCCCGAACACTTTTGTTGATCCGTAGATGAGATGAAGGCAACAGGTGCTGATTAAAGGTCATGTTACGAGACACAACAAAGCTGCACAATATTGCAACTTTTACTTTTCATAATTAAGCTATTCACACAAAACCAATATTATCGTTTCAAAACAAATTAGACCATTGCATGGTCAAGCATTTCCTCAAATGTTGATACTTAATTTGCCAGTTTGCTAATGTATGCACGTATTTACAGAAATTCCAAGCCAAGAAGTGCACATTTTTTTTGCAACTGAATTATTTTTAATAGATAAATATAAAAATATTATTAATGTTAAGCATCACTATTAATCACATCTACCTTAATATATTCAGTACAACCTTTGTTATTTGTAATAGTCATAAGAATACAGACAAAGAAAGATTATATACCTTGACATGGTTTTGTCATTCACTCTTTTGTCACTTTAATATCAAGTGCTTATAACTGTTAGGCAAAATGTGTGCTAATCTGAAATTAGGAAAGGTACATGATGTTATGAAAAACTAAAATTTTACATTTGGAAAAAGACTTATTTATTTAACGATTCTTTTTGTAGTTGTTAAAGGAAGTGATATTTTTTCAAAGTTGAAACCCATGGTATCTTAGCTAACATGGATACACTGTCTGTCTCATTTTTGAACATGATTTATTGTTTTATATAACACTAATATACGCATCTATCTCCTCTTATACGTGTACAGTGTATATCAAATATTATTTTATTATAATAAATAATCAAAAATTAAAAACGTTGGCTTATAGATTTATTACTTTGCATGTATTTTACGAGTGATAATTTATGTAGGAAATGCATGTGTCATTGATGTAATTGTTTCCAAGGCCAAGTAGTGATTATTTGTTTGTTATAACAAACATATATTTGGAACATGCTGGTATCAAAAGTGATTAGCCTTTGTCACGATGGCAGGCAAAGATCAGCCTGCACATCCGTACAGTCTAATTGACCAAATACTATTGATGGCTCAGTTTTATATTTTCATGATTGATAATTGTTAAGATAGACTGTTCCAAATTCAAAGTAGCGTAACCAATTACACAAACTTAGCAGATTATGGTCAGTTGTATATAGCGCATGATAATTTAGAAATGTCCACAGCAACCTTGGATATTTTAAACACTTAAAAAAACTTTCTGGTTAAATTGTATACTCACATATAGTCTATTGACCCTTTTCTTCACATACCAGTATAAATACCAAAATATTTTACATATATTGAAATGTTCAGTGCTTTGTTGCGATGGCTAGAACCTGATGGCCGGTCAGATTATGTATTTGTTTACTGTATATATCCGTAATGCAGGCATGTGTTAATAAAAGAGGAAAGGTGCAACATGTGTGCCTTATCATCTGTCCAATATATGATCAAAACGAGTAACACGGACCAATACATCTTATAGTAAATAAAATCGAAAGAAATGAATTATCTCATATGCATGCTAAAGACATTAATTGCTTAAACATCATTGAAAAAAATGCAAGGAAGATACTTGATTCTCAAGATCATTCGTGGGAATGACAACCTGGCTACCATATGTATTGCTGGGTAAAATATAATATCTTAGGAGACGGCCCACTGACTTTTCGTACTATATATCCTATAGTAAATCCATTACATCTAAGACTAAATTCTGGACACGACATATCCCGTACAGGCATTTGGTGGCTATAACTGTCAACAACAATACTATCCAACTAAATGTAGCACAAAAATAATACATTAGCCCTTGAACTTTTTCTGCAGCTTTTAATTTGTGTAAGCACTATAAAATAAATCAAATAACAACCGGGGTGTATTCTGACGCATAGTACTTTCTGAAACCTTCCACCAAGAAATGAAATCCTGCAAATACACAAAAACAACATATAAAGTACGCAGAAATGAAACTTCATGTACACATTTACAGAAAATATCCTTAAAGTGTAATCAGTCTTACCAAGGATGATCAGGACTTGAAATTGGCCACGTGCTTTCTAGACTACAACGGGCTCGGTCTAATTCCGTACCGGGGTGACACCCTTAGCACTGCCACGGCGTAATCATTTACGTTACGGAAGTGTGGTTGCATAGGTTAATCAATATCGCCACAAACAATGAAATAGTGAAGCACGTATTCTTGCTGAATATTAGGTTTGGCGCTGATTAATTAAAACTATATTATAGCTTACTTTTTCAATGATGAACACTTTTATTGCATTTGCAAGTTGAAATATTAAGAATAATATAAGGGTACCGTTTTGTAATTTTCAAAGCGTTAAATACTTTTACATTTTACAGCATGTGTAAAAAATGAAGTTTATTGTACTGAGAAGTACAAAAACGATGGTTTTACCTGCTGCACAAACCTTCAACATTTCGATTGGCATCAAACTATAGTACTGTCGCTTCAAAAAATGTTTGTATGTACTGTGCATTTTGTACTTCAGGAATGACTGGCATTGACCAGATAAAAATGACTTGAATAGTTTGTTTTAGGATGGACACCGTTACAAGGATTTCTGGACATTGTTTGAAAGTAACTTGCATTTAAAGTCAATTATTCTGTTTTGTCCATTTATAAAATGCGTGTTATATTATACAATTATTGACGAGTGTGCCATTGAATATGATGTGATATTCACCGGCAGATGACAGAAGAAATAGCAAGAAATGACCCTTCTTCGCCTTCACTTAACAAAATTATCCAAAGTAGCACTTCAAGTGTATATATACCTGTTCTTTAAATTGTCTGTTCTCGGCACGAGGTCGTGACGCAACCGCCTATCACCATTGTATTACCGGGGCTTGCCGGTAATATCCGGGACAATACCGGGTTCAACGGAGCGTTGTCGCCAATAACCGCAATATACCCTGGCTTTACCGCAACTCTGCCTGTTTTTACCGTTGCGAAATCGTGTATTCACCGGGCCATGTCGTGTTTTGACATTAATTAACACGTATCCCAGTTTACTACGGTTTGTCACGGTATAGGTGCGGCATAGATAGGTGGTTCCCCGGCGATTCCCGGTGCCAAACCGATAGAACACGGATCTGAGCTTCCTTCTCGGTGCGTGCCGGTGAGCCCCGGTTGTAAAAAGCATTTTAATACAACCGTGGCGATCTCCCAGTCCACCAAGGTTTGTCCCGGTTCTTCACGGAATCGCTACCGCCCTACGCCGGTTTACCACGGCTAATCCCGGTGAACTAAACTGTGGCAAACCGAGACGCCAAACCGGGACTGTGTAAACGGGGCTTTAGACTGGCAAAATCCAATTCAGCCAGTGAATATGATACTACATCCAGTGAATATAATTCTATAAAACGTTATGTTGACTACTGTTTGGACCAATGAGGTTGCAGCTATATTTAGATCATATAATAAACATATGATATAATATAATAACAATTTAGAAAATGCTCATTGCATTCAACTAATTGACAATCTGCCATTTTCCCAGCTCTACAAATAGCAAACTTTTTTAAAATTGAAATGTCCATCTTACAGTATAGTCGGAAGCTTCTTTTAAAGGCATACTATTAGTATTTAGACTATTGATGTTTACAATGATACATGTACCTCATCATTACCCTTTTCTTTACTGGACTGTTCAATTTTCTTTTGACTGTTAACACTATTTCAGACGCGGGCGGGCAATCAAGAATAAGGCACTTTACATCTTTTTGAATCAACGGTGAGGATGTGTAAGACGAAAAAGTAATACTGACAACTTGCGAAATATGATTTATTGTTAACTGACACAGATTCCTGGAAATAATGACAGATACTTTATAATTTGACAAGAGAACTAAAAATAGAATATATATCATTCAACGAAGAGAATAAGTTGAAAAATCAAAATTTGTTTTTGTTGCCCTGTAATTATTCAGTGTAATGCATCGGAGAAAACTGTAAATATTTTGAATGTTTATTCCAAAATCTAATCGATGATATAAAATTAAACCAAGTATCTATGAATGTATAAAAAAAACTCATATTCTAAACAATAAGCTAATGAAACGCATTATAAAACAGAAATGTATCGCAAAGTGTCACAGATAATCCTGATGTGGAATAGATCACTCTTAACTCTGGAATAGGACCTGGGTAAGCCTCACGTCACCGTTAATGCGAATAGTGTCGATCAGGTTCATTTGAGCTATTCGATGATTGAACTCGAGTAAATGTTGACTGTTCACTGCATACTGAAACCATTATTAAATTTAGTCAGAAAAAAAAATCAAACAAACGTCATCAATGATATTAAGATGTTGGTAGAAATAAGATGAGTTGGTATTGAAGGAAACTTGTAATTTATTTCATCGGTTAAAAAAATTGGTTATAACTTGTGGTAAAATAAAAATCTTCATTTATATTATTAAAGCCTGTTAACATTTGGTTTATTGGAAATGTGGCACACATTTTCAAATGGTAGAGCCATTTTTTAAGCAAAGGGGTATGTTTTGTGTAACATTATAAAGGCTTGTTCGAGTATGGTATACAGCAAATATCTGAACTTTAGGCAAGCAGATTTTGACAAGAGTGACCAATTGATTGCATCAAATCAGCCCAGTTCATATAACTTTTATTCCTCTGTTCCGCACAGATATGTTCATATTCTGCTTAAATGTGTGTTTGTTTAAATATACCTTGTAGCAATGCGGCTCAACCAAAATCATTATCTCAAAGCTTTGATTTGGCCTGAAAGGAAAATAAGGCAAGTGTCTCTCTTCTTGGCCCCAATTTCCTTGTTTGTGATTCCTTACAACAACGTTTTTGTCTTTGCCGTAATTAAACCTGACATCAAAGCACATTCCGATATAGTTGGGCTCATATTGGCTGCTATGCTGAAGGTAAACCATAAATCTGTAATGAGATTTCTCAAATAATTTGTAACTTTCTCACTCGTTAATAATTTTAAGTGTTAAGAACACAAATATGTTAAGCAACAACCAAACTACCTTATTCATATACAAGCCCGTATAAATTACATAACAACCGCCATTATAGTCAATGAATTATGCAGTGAACAAGTATACTTTTATATTATCACCAAACTAACAGTTGCAAAAACACTTCTATATTGGTTGCAACGCGGATTAGATTTTCATCACTGTTGATTCCATCCATTGTCAGCCATATTTAAACTATACATGTTGGTTTATACAATTTATGCATCAACGGTTGACGAAATGTTTTTTCCCTGTGTTATAAATATACATTTATGCTGAAAAGAAATATGTTAATA